CCATTTAGCGCAGCTGATGTCTTGATTAACTGTCAAAGTGGGTAATTTCTACTTGAATTCGTTGTGCAGTGTTGCCAACCATTTGAAATATTATATAAAAAATTTTGACAGATAATCGAGACAAAAACAAAGGTTGTGATACATCACCTTATTATTGCATCATGGTTACCCTATTATAACCATACATTACCAAACTTGACTTCACTTTTTCCTATGTAGAAAATATTAAGTGGCAACACTTTCGTTCTGGCGAAGACATAAACCTCATGTAATGACATAGATTACTGCATTACTATTGGCCACACAAGTCTGGCTACTGTAGAACATTTATAGTTGGCAACTCAAAAAATTTTCAAAAAGAAACACATGCCAAACCATTTAGAGCGATTAATTAAATCTAGGATTCAGACAAGGTGACAGTTTGTCGTGTGACCTTTTTAACATATTGCTGGAGAAGGTCTTACGAGATGCAAATTTTAACAGAAATAACACTTTGTACACCAAACAGCATATTCGCCTATGCCAACGACATCGACATTACAGGCCGAACGATTTTATACACCCTGAACGATTTTATACACCCTGGTACCGCCATAAACAAAGCTAATAACATTAGCTTTGAAATCCGAAGGAGAATAGTGTTGGCCAACAGATGCTTCTATGGTAGGAGTAAGCTACTCAAAAGCATGAGCATGGATGAGGATGCCCCAGATGAAGGTGACTTGTTATATTAAATGAATACACATATTTTGTGTAAGTGTGTGTATTACTTTGAATACCTTGTCAAATAAATTAAAATTCAATTGAAAGATATTCAAATTTAATTGAAATAAAAATGATTTTTTACCGCTTTCGTCTGGAAGCAATTACTTTGTTATTTCTTTTGATTTTGGGAAAACATTTTCATTGTCAAAAACATTTTCAACAATTAATTACGATTTACAAAATTGTCTTCAAATTTAGGGTTTTAATAAAAAATATGTTCATAGAGACGAACGAAAAAGAAAAGGCTGAAATCAGTTTTGAAACCGTTCGCTGATTTGATCCAAATGGTTTATGTTTTGTATCCCGTGTTGAAATCTGTTCATAAATCCTAGCTACACATACGTAGCCTATATTGGAATCTGTCCCTTGGTATCTCCATAAAATCTATCCAAAGGTGAAAGTCTTTCATATACTCCTATAGACAGATTGCAAAAGGCAACACAATTTCCTTGATTTAGTCTTTGGCCGGGGATTTATGTCCACCAAACTTCCATTAAGGAGGCGAAATTTGAAGGCAATTCTTCAAAAAAGATATTTATCTTTGTAATTTACTAATTTACAATATAAACAACATCTCCAGGAACCAAGGCAACACGTTGGAAACTTTTCAAAGTAATTCGTTACCCGGTCTTAAACTTTACTCCCTAACCTAAAATTGCCAAAAATCCAAGAATATACAAATTCATTAATTATTCATCAAATACTAGTTTTTGATAAAAATTAATAAACATAAATGGATAATTATTTTTGTTTATTTTTGCCAAAAACTAATTGTCAAAATGACAATTTAATTTCTATAACAGCAATGTTTTTTTTTTTTTTTTTTTTTTGTAAAAATAAATAAAATATTAAAAAAATCTTTAAAATGCAAACACTTTTGACTTTTATTTTCTTTCTTTTGTATTTTGATTCGTAAATTTGGCAAAGAAAAATTTGCTAATGGAAAAGCAAGCGAAAATTTCAAAAGAGAAAACAAAAAATTTGCCAAATAAAAATCTGCCTGTGGAAAAGCAGACTTACATGTGTTTGTATTAAAATCGCCGCCGTCATTTTTCAACGCAAACCGCCGTCGCCGACGTTGTACGAAAGTGGTGTTTATCACACCACATTCGTAAATTTTCCATATTCCGCTTTCAGTTCCTGTTTTATCAGCCATTTTTTCTTTTCTCCCATTTGTAGCAGGTGGAACGTTTTTAGTTTATTTGTGATTGTTGTTATTCCATTACCTGACGCCATAGTGAAGTAACGCGAAAGTGAATTGATTGTGGATTTTACCTGTCATATCAGTGTTTTTTTCTTCCATATACGTTGTGTGTCTTGATATAATCTTCTTTTCCACGGTATTTATCTATTATTTGTTATTTAGAAAATATTAACAATTTATTACGTAGGCAACAAAGATTAATAACTAACTATTATTAATCTCTTTCTTCTTCAACAATCAACGACGTCAACTACCACGAAATTTGACGACTGTGTGTGCTTGCTGCTGTGGTGTACTTACTCTTCATTGTTTCTGGAAACAAAAACTGGGAAATCATCACAACTTGCAAAAAATCAACCAACCAACAAAACGTTCGTCTTCCACGAAATTGTGTTATACACACAAAATTGTTTGCTTGAAATTGTTGTTTTTTACAAACCATGGATCCATTACATCAGTCAAGGAGTCGCAATCTAAAATCAACAATGGTAACTGAAGATCTTTATGTAAATGCAATAGTCTTATCGAGTAACAAATTGCGTTATAAAGGAATGCATGTTTGTTTTGTAGTTAAAAACCCCTCTATTTGAAGATGTTTGGCAATTTCGGTGTTATATTTAATGTGGGAAAGTGGCCATCTAGTCGGTCCACTCATTCAATATTTTTAATCTACTAGTACAATGTCATATTTAAGGAAGGATGCAAAGGATATATATTTTTTCTCTGAGTTATTTTCATATTAAAAGCAAATCGCATATTTTGATAAAAGTAATGGGATTGATAATGAACAATTTCAGGCAAATGGCCACCATGAGTGGTTACCCTCCTCGATATCCTCACAAATTCTATATTTGATTTGAATCAACGCTATGCATTTGGTGTAGATCTTAACCTTCACGTATCCTTTAAGGGAGAAGTTACAGTCTTAAATCAAAAAGACATAAGTTGATTAATGGAATACATAGTAGTAGGATCGATTTGAAATGTTTACCACAGGTATTACTATGAGGTATATATTTTGTAGTGGAAGACGATACTTCCCGAAATATATGCCTTAGAAGTTCGAATAAACCGCACTTTAACTTTTTCGTTCTTTTAAATTCAACTTAATTTTAAAATGCCGACCGATGTTTTAAGTATTTCTCCTATGGACGAATGGAAAAGTCGGACAACGCGAAAAAAAGCTTGTATTTTGACAACTTTATTTTAAATAGTGGTAACATTTTCAAATCGATCCCAGTTCGGTTTCTATATCTCGGTGTCAAATTGTGATCACCTGTTCGTAAAAGGGCACGGCAATGGTTTTGTTGTTGGTGTGACGTAGTCTTGTGTAGTTAACATTGTCCAGATGGATACCATGAACTCGGAACACATCCCTCAGTGCCCAAAAATATATGAACAAATATTTTTGAAACTATCTAACCCTTTACTAGAAATTCAATGTAAAAAAAGATATTATTTCAAGTATACTTACTAGCTGACTTGTGACAGAACGTTCGTTCCCTAAGCCGAGCTTAGAAAAGATTTCCAGGCGCGTCGGTCTTTTGCGCAGTTTTTCCGATTTGAAAGACCATATTCGGCAATTTTATCTTCCACTTGATCTTTCCATCACTTTTAAGTTGTTTGCTCAGACCATAGTAGCATCTGTTGGCCATCACAATCCTGGTCCCGCAATAAACAAAACTCATGTCATTCGTTTTGTTTATGGCGGTACCAATGTATATAAAATCTTTGACTACCTCGAATCTGTAGTTCCACAATTGGTCCGAGTCTACTGGTCGTCTTGTGCGTTGATACCATCAGCTTGGTCTTCTCGCCGTTTACTACCAGACCCACTTTGACACACGCCTTCTCAATTTGTTCAAAGGTGGCTGTTGCCGCTCGCAATGTTGGACCCATTATATCGATGTCATCGGCGTAGGAGAGTAACAAGTGTTGTTTGGTGTACAGAGTGCCATTTCTGTTCACCTTTGCGTCTCGTATGACCTTTTCCAGTAGGATGTTAAAAAGATCACGCGACAAACTATTACCTTGTCTGAATCCTCGTTCGGTATTTAAGCGCTCCGAGAGGTCCTTTCCGACTTTAACTGCTGATCTTGTGCCAGTTAAAGTTATACTGCATAGCCCTATTATTTTTGAAGGAATGCCAAACGCCTTCAAAAACTATTTTTAAAAAATTTACGCCTTTGCTCTGCTTTCAAAAAATACTTGTAAAAAATATAGGAATTCGCTGTGCCTTCACACACTTTTTATATCAACACCGAATCAAATTGCCAAGCATCCAAACCCATTTAACCCTGAACAGAATTTAACATGTTTCCCCATCTATTTTAAATGTCTTTTGTACAGGCCCCCTTGTCACCATGCCCTATCCCAGATATCAGTGATGACGAATTGGTTTCTATTTCGGTACGTGATTTAAATCGCACCCTAAAAATGCGTGGATTAAATCGTGAAGAAATTGTACGCATGAAACAACGACGACGTACATTGAAAAATCGCGGTTATGCTGCCAGTTGTCGGATAAAACGTATCGAACAAAAAGATGTCTTGGAAACGGAAAAAAGTCATGAATGGATTGAATTGGAACAAATGCACGAAGAAAATGAACAATGTAGTCGAGAGATAGAAAATTGGAAAAAGAAATATGCAGCTTTGCTGCAATTTGCTGCTCACAATGATATACCCATACCACAGGAATTGGAAACATGTTGAAGTGGCAATTTCTCTTTTTGTGTGTTTCCCAAGTGAAACGGTGATTGAAGTACAAGTTTTCCCCCTATAGTTTAATTTTGTATAAAGTGTAATGCTAGTTTTAAACAAAGTGTAGCTCTCTCGTGAGAATACACTGTGCAAAATCAATGTATACGTCCCCTCAGATATACTACATACAATTAAGTTATATACAATAAAATATATGTATAATTATAGTTAAATGAAATTGTCTTGAGTGTTTACTTAAAATTATTATTTTTATTTATTTTTAAAATACTACCAAAATATATAGTTTTATTTTAGGATTATTTTTCGCTTAACGCACTATTTTATCAGGAAGTACTTCAACACAAGGATACATTTTTTCAATATTATTTCGTATAATATATTGATCAGCCTCTTCGTCGGAATATTCCCCATTGAATACTTTACGATGCCTTGTTTTCAAGTGGACTCGCATTCTAGAATATAAGAAATAATTATCCATAAAATATATATATTTCAAAATATATTAAATGTTATATACTTAAATACTGCCGGTAATCCTTTTCCACACAATTTACAACTAAACGGATAACCACGATGTTTAAATGAATGCTGACGTAAACTAAACATATGACCAAATTCCTTATCACACACCTGACATCGATAGCGTACACCTTCATGTTTCTTACGATGCTGATCGTAATGTGTTTTAATGGCAAACGTCTGTGAACATTGTTCACATTTAAAGGGAAATTCTCTTGTATGAAATCGTATATGTATTCTCAAGTCCTTGGCTGTTACAAATTCCTTTTCACAATAGGAACATTTTAAAATATCACCGGTGTGCCGTTGTATGTGCATTTTTAAACTGTATTTATTGGAAAATGTTTTCGAACAAATGTCACATAGAAAATCCTGATCTGTTGCTGCAGTACCATTTCTCTTTGTATTATGTGTCATTTTTATGTGATTTTTAAGATTTTTCGTGGTAAAGAAAAATCGTTCACAATCAGGACACTCAAAACGATTTAATTTGGTCGGACCGTGTATCATCTCTTGATGTTTAACAAATGCTAATTTTGTAAGGAAATTACGATCTGCAAAGTGGAAAAATTAAAATGTTACATGGTTTTCACACGAAGGGTGAAGGGACCCCACCAAAGTGGCCAATCTTACCGCATGTTTTACATTCGTATTCTTTATCCTGGCTATGCTGTTGTTCCATATGTTCATATATTAATGTGGAGCAAATAAGTTTTCCACATTTTTCACAATCCTCATAGATTTTATTTTTATGTTTTATATCTCTATGGATGTTGAGGGAATCCTGTGACATAAAATATTCTTTACATCTATTGCAGGGATATTTTAGTAGCTTTGAATCTGAAATAAAGAAACATATGTAAGTTTTTTTATATTTCTCCAAAAACATTGTTAAACATCGATGTACTCTTTAAATACTAGGACCTCTAAAATATTCTTTAACAATTCTACGCCTTAGCTAGACCACCCCAAAGAAATATTTGTTAAAATTCACGGCCCCCAAAAAATACTCACCATGTTCATTATAGTGATCATGCAGTTCCCGCTCTAATCTATAGACTTTGCAGCAAATTTCACATTTGAATTTTAAAGTATTTTCTTTTACAGAATTGCTCTTTGTTTTTCTTTTCCTGTTGCTAGAAAAATTTGCTCTCTTTGGTGGTAATTCAGCATTATCCGTTTCGATTAGAACTTCTTCGAAATCGACAACCGTGTTTTTAGAACCTTCCTTTTCCGCAGTTACTGTTTTTCCTCCACCATACTCTTCTGATAGTTCATCTAATATTTCATTGATATCCAATTCCGAATCGGAATGTTCTACCGAATTTTGATAATCTCGCATTGTTTCATCATTTGGATCTAGACATTCCTCAAGCAAGTCAGTCTAAGGAAAAAGGAAACTTTACTCTCGTATAAATACTTAAAAAAAATTATTACAATATACCTCCTCCTCATCCTCCCCTTGACTCCCATCACTTTGTGTCTCATCTTCCGTCTTCCTCGATTGATGTGCATCGAATAATTCATATTCTAAATCAATTGTTGTATTATCATCTGTTTTGTTGCCATGCAACAACTCATCCTCCAAATCGTCATCATCACCATCACCGTCTTCTGCTGTTGCTTCTGCACTACTATAACTTACAACATGTGTACTCTTCTCATACATAGACATTAGGAAATCTTCATTCCGTTGTGATTTAATTATAAAATCCAAAGTACGCATCAATTGCAAACGACACTTGGTACATATATAGGCATAGTCCATTAGACTATCAACATTAAAATGATCCGTCCCGCCATTGCGTATACAATAATAATAGCATTGTAAATATGTGGCGGCCTTACGGTCATCTCGTAATTTTATTACTGGTTCCGGTGGCTCCAGTATATGATAGATCCTTGATAGGGTGCTTCGTATTTCTTTGAGACAAACACGACAAAATTTTCGTTTTGGTTGGGACATTTTTTGTTAACAATTTTTGTTTATTTTTCTGGCCGAAAAGGGAAAGTGAATATTTTGTTGTGTCCTGGCAATGTAAAGACAATGCGGAATATCTTGTGCGCAGACTCCATTTAGCAGATGTTTGCAAAAGGATTGTTGACTGTATTAACGGTGATTCAATTTTAAATCAATTTGGTCACATAATAATATTTTTCTTTGAAAAGTCTTCTTTAAAAAATCGAAGCCTTTGTTAGAGCCTCAATAATATTCTTTTACAAATCTAAGCCTATGTTAGGGCCTCAATAATATTTTTTTACAAATCTAAGCCTATGTTAGGGCCTTAAAAATATTATTTGAAAAATCTACGCCTTTGTTAGGGCCTCAAAAATATTCTTTTAAAAATCTACGCCTTGTTGAGACCCTCAAAAATATTCTTTTAAAAATCTACGCCTTGGTAAGACCATCAAAAAATATTCTTTAAAAACTCTACGCCTTGGTACGACCCTCAAAAAATAATCTTTTAAAAATCTAAAAATATTCTTTGTTCTTCTAATATTATTTTAATTAATTTTTTTAATATAAAAATAATCAACCTTCATATGTCTATTCATATGGTCGATAGCTGACAATTTGATGGGCAACAACATTCAAAATTTCCCGCGGTGACATATCATGTTGCTCATTTATAATGGCTGTTATGCGGGCACATTCCTTGATATAATTTTCCAGCTCTTTGAGATTTGGTGGTTTGCGAGGATTCTTAGATGCCTGCAAGGCCTGTAAACATTGGCCCGTCATATTGGCCAATTGAGATCTGGGTGGACTGAATATTTCATCCAAGTCATACAGTTCCAATGGCGGGGCTGCTGGTTCACTAAATATTGGTGGAAATGTCTAAAAAGGAAATGCACCCTATTAATAAAATTATTTCAAATTACGAATTCCAAAACATACCGCCAACTGCAACGGTGGTAGGGGTATTTCAAATTGGGGTTTGATAATTTTCAAGGGTTCATATTTAACATTCAATTGTTGATATGTGTTGATGACATCCTTGAGCAAACGATTACTTAATGAGCACAGAGACATGTCGAACATTTTCTTAAAATCAGCTGGTATTTCCGAACCAATGGAATCAATGAGACAGGCTTTTGGCAAATCGGCAATGAAACCAATATCCGTAAAGGTTTTATTGTCATTGAGCTGCAAATGGTGGATGGAATGGTGTTATATATTAATAAAAAATAATTATTAAAAGAGGGACATAAAAATACCCACCTCTACATCATTAAAATCCAAATGATTAAATTGTATATCATTGGTGGCCAGCAATTTCAGTATATACTCCAAAATGGCATCATTTGTCTTGTAGCTTGACAAATACTTATCATGAAACATGTAACCCGAACCAATGGCCAATATTTTACCTTTCGCTTCGTTACAATAATAACCAGCCAATGGACGATTAAAAGGATACACCACAGGGCCGGTTGTAAGCAGGACATTTGCTGGCTCCGACACATTTAATGTCGCCCCGTAGGGGTATTGAAAATGTAACTTATATTTTTCATCACTAAAATCATAATCAACTTTGTCGACTGGTTGTTTTAAAATATGCCGCCACATTGATTCGCAAACGACACCGCCACCAATTGAACATTCTTTGGGATGGAAATTCTTGTAGTAATGTGGGCGGATAACATTATCTGGAAATTAATTTTAAAAATGATTACTTATATAGGTAATAAAGGAATGTTATAATTACTCACCACTATTAATGTATATGCCATACTGTTCCAAAAAGAAATTCACATTTGTATTGAATTCATTTTCACCACCCTCTCCCAGTAATACCCATAAACTACCACCATTATCCACATAGGCTTTTAATGCTTCAAATTCTTCTTCGGTGAAACGATCCTGAGGGCCGGCCAATATAAATATTTTTAATTTGGCCAATATTTCGGGTTTCAATTCCATGTCATTTCTAAAGGCAAACAAAATAGAAAAGGAGAATGATAAACATAGTGCATAGCAAGATACAATAAATAAACTAGTACTTATTTATTTAAATTTTATAATTTGAATATAAACAAAATAATCAATTTCTTTGAATTTAAATCAAACGTGCGACGATTATTTCTTATAAACTGGACCCTGCATTATTCTTTAAAAAAACAGACATCTAAGAAACTTTTTTCCACCTGCATATTAAATTCCTGTTATCCTGTAAAATTCTGCATTCATACTTACTGCTCGATAATATATTGGGATTTCAATTTACGATGTAACATTTTATAATTGTCGGTTATTTGAAATCGTTCATTTTTTGATATGTCAAAACAAATTACACTTTTCGAGGACATTTTGAAAATAAATAAGAACAAAAAGGTTTCCCAATGAAATTCACGCCAAATATTAAAAAATCTTCTATATTAATTTGTCGCATGCAATTTAAAATACGGTTGCTATGCAACGTTTAAGGGTTAAGTCGTAATGTAATTATTGTGTAAAAACGACTTACTGACTAAAACAATAGGTTCGTTAGTTTACTTTCCCAGTAGCATTTACTCAGTAAGAATTTGCAGAGAGTAAATATGAATTATTCGTTCTCAAGAGAGAGAGAGAGATTGCATAAAGTAAACGAACAACATCAAATAAAAAAAATTGTATCCACACAGCTGATTAAAACAACAACAGACAAACATTTTTATTAGAAACATGGATAACAAGCAAAAAATTGATATTGTTTATAAATACTTGCGTGTTCTTCATCCATTTTAATGTTTAATTATACAGAATAACATTCACAAAACAATATATTTGCTTTAGAACAATTCTGTTGTTTGTTTACAAAACATAGCAAAACAGCTGATTAAATATCAGCTGATGGTACAAGAAAGTTCTTACTGAGTAAATTTTCCTTTTAAGAACTTGCAAATACTCAGTAACACAACAGTCAAATCTGCTCTCTCAATTCATTCTCTTTTACTGAACATTTGGGTAAACGACTTAATCCAACGTTCGGAGATTTCTCTTTTCTATGTCCTCGAACAGTTAAGCATGGTTGACGTTATCGAAGGCTTTCGATAGGTCAAGTGCCACCAAAAATGCTAATATATGTGGACATGGCGTGTAATAATGACTTTTGGAATCCATGCTAATGTTGGACAACTGGAAAACTTCTCAGCGATGGGAGGAATGGCGCTTCAAGTGTCTTTGCTACTGGTGACAGGAGTGAAATCGGTCTGTCAGCGATAACTACAAGTTGACGGCTGATGTTAAATACACAACTCCGTAATTTCTACTTGAATTCAATGTGCAATATTGCCAACCATATGAAATATTATAAGGAAACATTTGGCAGAAGGTCGAGACAAAGACAAAGGTTTTTGTTTTGATACATCTCTTTATTAATGCATTATGATCAGCTGTTTTCCCTCAAGTCTAATGTCAAAAATATGGCTTTTGTTTACGTTTTCATTCAATCATTTTTTTTGACGGCAAACTTAAGAGGCATCCGGTATCAAACTGGTCTCCCCGGACGACCTTAAGGGCTCAGCAGAATGCTCGCGTTATATGTTATCGAAAATAGCATTCTGCTTAGCCCTATTATTATTATTTATAGACCTTGCTGTGAAGTATGAATTTGAAATGCCGGTTGGCAACGGCATTTCACACATGTCTTCGAGTATGTTTACATTTTCGATTCGACCAGTTTATTTACCGAGTGTTACATTAGAGTGTTCACTGTATTTATAAAGAAAATCGAAAATCCATTTTGCGAAGTCGTTATTCAAGTCTGATGACATGAATTAAAGTGGCTCCAGTATATGATAGATCCTTGATAGGGTGCTTCGTATTTCTTTGAGACAAACACGACAAAATTTTCGTTTTGGTTGGGACATTTTTTGTTAACAATTTTTGTTTATTTTTCTGGCCGAAAAGGGAAAGTGAATATTTTGTTGTGTCCTGGCAATGTAAAGACAATGCGGAATATCTTGTGCGCAGACTCCATTTAGCAGATGTTTGCAAAAGGATTGTTGACTGTATTAACGGTGATTCAATTTTAATTCAATTTGGTCACATAATAATATTTTTCTTTGAAAAGTCTTCTTTAAAAAATCGAAGCCTTTGTTAGAGCCTCAATAATATTCTTTTACAAATCTAAGCCTATGTTAGGGCCTCAATAATATTTTTTTACAAATCTAAGCCTATGTTAGGGCCTTAAAAATATTATTTGAAAAATCTACGCCTTTGTTAGGGCCTCAAAAATATTCTTTTAAAAATCTACGCCTTGTTGAGACCCTCAAAAATATTCTTTTAAAAATCTACGCCTTGGTAAGACCATCAAAAAATATTCTTTAAAAACTCTACGCCTTGGTACGACCCTCAAAAAATAATCTTTTAAAAATCTAAAAATATTCTTTGTTCTTCTAATATTATTTTAATTAATTTTTTTAATATAAAAATAATCAACCTTCATATGTCTATTCATATGGTCGATAGCTGACAATTTGATGGGCAACAACATTCAAAATTTCCCGCGGTGACATATCATGTTGCTCATTTATAATGGCTGTTATGCGGGCACATTCCTTGATATAATTTTCCAGCTCTTTGAGATTTGGTGGTTTGCGAGGATTCTTAGATGCCTGCAAGGCCTGTAAACATTGGCCCGTCATATTGGCCAATTGAGATCTGGGTGGACTGAATATTTCATCCAAGTCATACAGTTCCAATGGCGGGGCTGCTGGTTCACTAAATATTGGTGGAAATGTCTAAAAAGGAAATGCACCCTATTAATAAAATTATTTCAAATTACGAATTCCAAAACATACCGCCAACTGCAACGGTGGTAGGGGTATTTCAAATTGGGGTTTGATAATTTTCAAGGGTTCATATTTAACATTCAATTGTTGATATGTGTTGATGACATCCTTGAGCAAACGATTACTTAATGAGCACAGAGACATGTCGAACATTTTCTTAAAATCAGCTGGTATTTCCGAACCAATGGA